AATAGTTTATAACAAAAACCAGCTAGTTGGCTCAGTGAAAAAGGAAAGGAACAAGCAACCATTCCAAGGGCCTGAGGTCAATACCCAAGAGAGAATCCACATCTCCAACTTGTCCTATGAACTTCACACATGTGCTGTGGCATGTGTGTTCACACATGTCTCAATGGCCCAAATTTAGATTTTTTTTTTTAAAAAGAAAAGTATAAACAAGAAGACAGAACTGCACCAAACTAAAATGACCATCAAAATATCTAGCTATGTTGTAGCTCAACAACCGACCAGAGATCCAGAATACAGTCAGGATGGCAATAGGAATCCAAGTATTCACAGTTCACTTCCTACCAAGTCATCAATTATCACTGCAGAGCTCCCTTAGGGTGAAATGGGAACAAGTAGATTTTCACAGCAATGCTTATCTCCTAGGCACTTTCCTTTGGATTAAACAACTACCTCAACTCCAAACTGGCAAAGAAAAAAAAAGAAAGATGGAATGGAAAGTATAAAATTCATAACAAGATGGGCAGGAGAGATGGCTCAGGCATTAAAGTCTATGCTCACAACCAAAAATATAAGAAATTCATAACAAGAGTGATAAATGCAGCGTCTGTCAAGTCAATCCCTTAGCAGGATGCACCAAGGTCTGTCTGTGTATGAACTTTGTCTCAGGCCTGCTCAGGCAATGCTTATATAGCATCCAGACTAAAGACTAAGTCTGCTCTATGGCCATCAGCTCATTATAGAGTTCCTTTCTGTTGGGCATAGTCTATTGTGGACACTTCACCTCTGAGAATATGTGAGCAACCCACCCTGGTCTCCATGCCACAGATATCCTGAAACCCACATAACATAAAGACACAACAAACGGAATCAAAGACAAGTTTTTCATCAATGGTCATCAAAATACTCAAAATCCAACTCTAAGGACTCAGCAAAAAGATCACCCACCCATGATGACCAAGTAGCCTTCATCCAAGACAGGCAGGGATGGGTCAAGATTCAAAAATGAAGAAATGTAATCCATCATATAAACAATCATACAGAAAAAAATAACACTCCATTGTCACCACATTATATGGAGGAAAGGCTTTTGACAAAAATCCAACACTTCTTGATAAAAGTTCTACAGGGACAAACCTAACACCAAATGAAGCAATTTCTAACAACATCAAATTAAATACAAAGAGACTAGTGGAGAACCCCAAAACAATTTGAGCCTTGATTCCTCCCCCACAGGGAGAGGTGCATGCTGGGGCTTCTCCTGCTCCCCCCTCTCCTCATTAGAAGCCCTTGGCTAGAGCACATCAACCCATCCTGCCTGCAAATGGCCAGAGAACTGGGGGAAGGCCCAAATCATCCAGCACTGCATCTCCCACCATTGGAGCCTTTTTCCTTGTCCCACTGGGAGAGGAAGATCAACCACCTAAGAAACAGGCCCCACCTGCACTCACAGGAGGAGGAGATGGATAGACGGCAGAATAAGAACCCATTCAACAGGAACAGTAATATGATACCACCAGAGACTAGGGGATCTACACCAGCAAGACTTGAACGTCCCAACACAGATGAAGCAGAAGAAAATGACCTTAAAAATAACTTTAAGAAGATGGTAGAGGCCCTTTCAGAGGAAATGAAAAACTCCCTTAAAGAAATGGAAGAAACAGATGAAAGACAAACCAAAATATGGGGAAAAAAATCAGCAAATCTCAGAAGGAAAGCCTGGGGGGGGGGGAACAATCACAGGAAGAAAATGACTCAAACAGTTCAAGACTTGAAAACTGAAATAGATGCAACAATGAAAACACAAATCCTTAACACAAAATATCCAGGAAACATGGGATACCAAGAAAAGAGCAAACTTCAGAATAATGGTGGAGAAAAAGACAAGCTCAAAGGTGCAGATCAAGATCAAAGGTGCAGAAAACATATTTAACAAAATCATAAAAGGAAACTTTCTTGACCTAAAGAAGGGCATGCCTATGAGAGTACAAGAAGCTTACAGAACACCAAATAAGACTGGACCTCCAAACAAAAAAAATCTCCTCACTACATAATAATCAAAATACCAAACACACAGAATAAAGAAAGAATATTAACAGCTGTAAAAGAAAAATGACCAACTAACATATAAAGGCAGACCTATCAGAATTACACCTGACTTCTCCATGGAAACTCTGAAAGTCAGAAGGTCCAGGATAGATGTTCTACAGACACCAAGAGACCACTGATGCCAGCCCAGACAACTATACCCAGTAAAGCTTTCAATCACTATAGATGGAGAAAACAAGATATTCCATGACAAAACCAGATTTAAACAATACATATCCAATAATCCAGCCCTACAGAAAGTACTGGAAGGAAAACTCCAACCTAAGGAAGTTAACTATACTCACAAAAACATAGGCAATAGATAATCCCAATTCAAAAGAAACAGTGGGAAAATCCACACACAATACCAACTACAACAAATCCAAAACAAACAAAAATCAACAACCAATGGTCATTAAGATTCCTCAATATCAATGGTCTTAACTCTCCTATAAAAAAAAAACACAGGCTAACAGATTGGATATGAAGACATTGCTGCATACAATAAACACACCTCAACTTCAAAGACAGTACCAATCAAATGGACCAAAGAAACAAGCTATCAGAATATCTAAACTTACAACTAAATTTTATTAAAAAAAATGAGGAACGACATTTCATAGTCCTCTGAGGGAAAAAATCCATCAAGATTAAGTCTCAATTCTGAACACCTATGCCCCAAACACAAAGGTACACACACACATTCATAAAAGAAACATTACAAAGACATAAATCACACATAAAACGCCACACACTTATAGTGGGAGATGTCACACCCCATTCTCACCACTGAACAAGACTAGCAGACAGAAACATAATAGGGAAATAAAGGAACTAACAGAAGTAATGACTCAACTGGGTTTAATAGACATCTATAGAACATTCCATCCAAACAGAAAAGAATAGCCCTTCTTCACAGCACCCCATGGAACCTTTTCTAAAATTGACCACATACTCAGCAACAAAGCTAACCTCAACAGATGCAAAAAACAAAGCAAAACAAAACAAACAAACAAAAAAAAATGGAATCCCCTGTTTCTTATCAAGTCACCATGGTTTAAAGCTAGAATTCAACAATACATATTACAGATACCTTACAAAATCATGTAAGCTGAACAATGATCAATTGCATCATCCCTGGGCCAAGGAAGAAATAAAGACTTTCTAGAATTCAATGAAAATAAAAGCAAAACATACCCAAACTTATGGAACACCCTAAAAGCAGCACTAAGAGAAAAGTTCATAGCACTAAGTGCCCACATGAAGAAACTGGAGAATAGTCACACTAGAGACTCAACAGTACATCTGAAAACTCTAGAACAAACAAACAGAAGCAAAGTCACGGAGGAGGAGTAGATGGCAGGACACAATCAAATTGAGGGCTGAAATCAATAAAGTAGTAACAAAGAAAACAATACACTGACCTGAACAAGGAGGAGCTAACAGTCCCCACACTGATAGCTGGGAATCCAGCATGGGACTGACTCAGACACCCTGAACATGGATCTCAGTTAGAAGGCCTGGGCAGTCTAAGGGACCTCGGACAGTAAAAGCAGGATGTATCCCTGGTGCACAAAAGGACATTGGGGGCACATCCCCCATAGAGGAATACTCCCTTAACCTAGGGGCAGGAGGAAGTGCCTGGTCCCTACTCCAAATGACTTGACAGATTTTGTCCCCTCCTGGAAGGCATCATCCTCCCTGTGGAGTTTGGGGGGGATTGGATGGGAGGGTTGTCGGGGAACATAGGAGGGTGGGAGATAGGAAGGGAAGGAGGGTGGGAGAGGGAACTGGGATCGATATGTAAAATAAGAAAAATAAATAAATAAATGAAAAGAAAACAATATAAAGAATCAATGAAACAAAGAGTTGGCTTTACGAGAAAAACAAGATAGACAAACCTTTATTCAAACTAAAGGACAATTCTCAACTTCAAATGGAACAACAGAAAACCAAGGATAGCTAAAGTAATTCTAAAGAATAAAAAAACTTCCGGAGTTTATATCATCCCAGAATGCATGTTGTACTACAGAGGTATAGTAATAAAACCACAATATTATTGACATAGAAACAGACACATCAAACAATGGGATAAAACTGAAGACCCAGACATGAACCCATTCCTGTGGATAACTGGTGTTTGATAAAGAAGCTAGAAATACACACTGGAAAACAGACAGCATCTTCAACAAATGGTGCTAGTCAAACTAGATGTCTGTATGTAGAAACAGATCTATACTCATCCTGCACAGACTGAAGTCCACATGTGTAAGAGACTATACGACCCTGCAATGTGTAAAATGTTAGGTGCTTACACACAAGCCACGGCCAGATGCTCAGTGTCTCAATCCTCTCCCCTGACTAAAGTGAAGCAACCAGGTTTGTAGTTGACAACATGAGAGTTGCCCAAGGCACAATATACAGAACATGACAAATATCTGTAGCCAAAACTGTACTTTTGTAATTAAAGAAATACTTGATCAAAGGGGAGACATCCCATGATGGCCTAACAACCTTTCCTATCAACAACAGAAAAAATGATGATACAGGTCATCATGAATGAAAACATCCTTCACCTGAATGTTCAGAGTCAAGTGCAGAACTTCTAGAAGACACTAGAGAAAGTAGAGGTCTGTGAAAACTTAGCAAATCCGCCTTTGAAGGCGATGATACAAGTGCTGCGTGGTGACGTCACAATAAGGAACTATCCAGGCACAGTACCCGCATCCCCGTGTTCTGTGCAGCCTTAGCCACAACCCGCAGATGGAAGTTATTCAGAGGCCCGAGCTGCTGGGACAGCAGGGGCCTCACGTGACCTCACGGGGAGCCGCGTCCGCCGCTTCCCACAGCCCCGGGAGGACCCACACCGGCTCCCGCGGCTCCTCCCCGCGTGGGGACGGCGGCCCCTCGCTCACCATGGCGGGCTCCGGGGTCACCTCGCTCTCTTCAGAACTCCCGGCAGCGGATCGCAGCTCAGCACACAGAACAGAAGCGTCTCCCTGACTCCAGAGCAGGCGAGCCTACAGCATGGCGGACCGGAAGAGCCCGCCCTCATCCTCACCGACAGTCTGATCCGGAGCCCTGATTGGCTAGTGTGAACTGAGTGACAGGTGCAGCTCACTTCGGGACAGAGCGTTGTGAAGGGACTGGAGCACAATGGTACCCAGCCCTGGCTTCCGCCCCAGCATCAGAACTGTCACAGTCCTGCAGAGTTTGGCATTGCAACACAACGTGGGGCTCAACTGCAAAGTCGTCCCTGCGCTTTTCCTGCACTAAGTAAGCTCTTCTCATTCTTTCCCCACCACCAATCTACTATTTATCTTTCTGGCCTCTTGGTCTGCCTCTCTCCCATCCCCTCCCTCCTTCCCTCACATGGCTCAGGCTCATGGCCACTCTGGACTCTCCCAAGTGTTCCTGTCTCTCCCTATAATGTCCCCTTTATCAACAACACCCTTTCTCCTCTACCATTTCCATGAGAATTCCTGTCCTTTTTAAGTTTTGTTTTGTTTTGTTTGTTTTTTCCAATCTGGTGTCCAAGCCAGGGTCCAGTCCTTTTTCATTTCTTTTTCCTATTCCATTCACAGTGTCTCTAGCATACACAGATAATTACTTAATGTTTAGTGAATGATTCCCTCCCTCACAGATGAAATGATGCCCAGGTCATCCAGGTCAACTTTAAACCTCCTGATTGACATTCACCAGGCATCAGAAATTTCAATAATGCTCACCTAGGATTGTACACACCTCTCTCATCTGCAGATGGTCAGCCAAACATGAACACTTTCCTAGCCTTCTGTTGGCACTGATGTATCATGCCAGCATTTGGCAGGTGGAGGCAGGACAGGAAGTTTAAACCAGCACCATCTAAGGCACAAAACACCAGACATTTGGTACTGGTAGAGGGGTGATTAGGGAGGTATCAGTCGGTTCTTCAAAAGCTGATGTGCCATGCTAAGGAAGTGTATTAAGAAGTACTCCTTTGATACACTATGTGTAGGGGCAACATGGAGCAGTCAGTAGCAAGCTATTTGAGCCATATTGTTAGAGCAACACAGGCTGTCTCAGACTGAGCTGGTGGTAGGAATGAAACTTAACAGCCTCTGAGGCAGAAGAGCCCGGTTCCCTGACAACTTCAAGATGCTCACTCAACCGCTGGATCAGACATTGCCAAGTCTGCCCTTGGACAATGACATAGAACTACTGTTTCCTTGGAGCTTTCATCAGGGCTTCTGTGAGAACCTTATGTTGGCCTAGTTCCCATAAGGCCCATCACCAACCTAAACAAAACCACATATGGAAATGGAAACCAAAGGGTTAATGCATGGAAAGATAGGGCCTAGAAAGAAAAACTAGTAAAGATTAGAGATGAATCCATACATTAGGAAATAAGAAAACATTAATAACACCAAAAGTTAATGTTAAATGTTAAAATCCGTAATTGTTATACCTTAAGATACACAACTTTTACAGAAGACAGATTCAATTTGCTGATTTCCCACATGATTTTAGAGCCGAGAGTGCTGGTGCAGTCCAGGAAACCCACCACATGGAAGGTTGAGGTAAAAGCATCACAAGTTTAAAGCCTGGCATGGCTACATACTGAGTTGATAAAACACTTGGGCAATTTAACCAGACCTTGACCCAAAATAAATTTTTGTTTAAAACTCAGTGGACAGATGCTTGCCAATCATGGGAGACCTCTAGAGTGAATGGCTTTTATTTTCTACCCCAAAAATGTGAATAGAACCACTACAACTACTAAATGGGTAGGTTGGAAGGGAGTGCTACACCAGGAACCAGGTAGTTGGCTCCTGGTAAGTAAAAGCACATGCAACCAAGTCTGAGAGTCTGATTTCAAACCAGGAGAGAGCACACATCTACTTGTCCTATAACCTTCACATGTGCTTTGGTATCAGTGTCTACACATTTCTAAATGTCTCAAATCAGAATGAAAATATACAGAAAAGTAACCAGCTATGTGGTACTTCATTGATCAAAATAAAACTCCTTTGAAACACTGCCTGAGGAAGTGTCTGGACTGGCAAGCCAATGCTGCCTCCAAGCCCTTTTTACTATATAGCAGCCTGAAGAAAGAAGTGAGGGACTCCCTCCATCCCAACTAGAAGGAGCAGTGTAGTACTTAGAACCTTATCTGGGACCAGCCACCTATTGGCTCAGACTTCAACCCTGATCAGCTTCATGATAATTGAGGACTCATTTCTGGAGCACTAGTCAGGTTTGCTATGAAACAGAGTAATGACAAAGAAATCCTGCCAGTTTCACAGAAAGCCATTACTCACACCAGTTGTGGAAAATGTGCTATAATTTTCATTTTTTTGTAAAAATAAAATTCAATTAAAAATATCTATCAAAAATCTTCAATTTCACTTTTGGAAGTGGAACCAGTACACAAATAGACTTCTGTGGTGTTTCATTGTACAGTGTGAGAAAAGTATCTAATTTGTTCTCTTTATAAACTGAAGTCTCTTGATTTGGGGATATTTGTTACTAATATCTCCCCCAAAATTACTTTAAGCTGTCTGTAAATGTTCATTTTTAGCCCATAATGAAGAAATTTCAGTATTAGTAAAAAGTAACATAATTTCTAGTGGATCAATTCCTGCTAATTGATAAAAGTGTAATTTTTCTTTCATGATCAATTCTGAATTTTTTCTACATAGGTCTTTTTAAGTTTGTGTGTGCAATTAAATATCCATTCTATCCCATCCCACATAGAGGGATACTTTCTTAGCCTAGACACATGGGGGGAGGGCCTAGGCCCTGCCCCAAATGATATGACAGACTTTGAAGACTCCCCATAGAAGACCTCACTCTCCCTGGAGAGCAATAGGGATGGACTCGGGTTTGTTGGGGGTCATAGGGGAGGATGGGACGTGAGAGAACTGAGATTGACATGTACAGTAACATTGTTTCAAATTTAAATATAAAAAAGAAAAAAATATTCTAAGAAATTACCTTCTCTCTGTATTAAGATACCTGTAGGAAAATGTTTAGAGAAGGTAAAATAACCAGAATATAATCAAGCTGTGGATCCAACAATGCACATGTGCATCGTGTAATTACTTTTCTATTAGATCCAATTCTATCAGCCTCAGTGAATAATTTTCTAGTACTATTTAAGTTCTTGTCACTTTGGAGGTGTAGAAATAAATTACTAGTGCTTGAGTTGTCCATCCAGTTTGAGCTATAGCCAGCTAAAATCTCCCAGCAATTTTTCAAAGTTATTCAGAGTGTGTAATTGATCTCTTCCGATTTAAACATTCTGTGATTGAATGTTTTGTAAACCTATATTATATCTTAGGTAATTAATAGAATCTTCTCTTTGTAGTTTTTCAATAGCAATTTTTCCCCAACAAGGCAAAAATGTTCTTAACTTCTTCTAATATGTTTTGTAAGGTATCTGCATCTGAATCAGCTTATTAGGTATCATCCATGTAATGGTAAATTATAGATTGAGGAAACTGATTACAAATAATTCCCCATTGCTTTTGTACAAAATATTGACAGAAGGTAGGGCTATACAACATTCCTTGTGGATGAATTTTCCACTGATATCTTTTAATAGGCTTGGAATTATTGTAAGTAGTCACCGTGAAGGCAAATTTTTTCTATATCCTGTTCTTGCAAAGATATAGAAAAAAAGCCATCCTTTAAATTAATCACTCTAACAAACCATCATTTAGGTAATAATGAAGGCAAGGGAATTCCAGAATGCAAAGAGCCCATTGGTTGAATCACCTTATCAATAGCTCTTAGATCCGTTATCATTTTCCATATTCCAACTTTTTTAAAATGACAAATACCAGAATTCCAAGGACTGGTCAACTCTTTGGTATATTGAGTATTTAGCTGTGCCTGTAATTTTTCTCATGTCAAAGGCCACGATTCCGCACAGATAGGTTTTTCAGTTTCCCATGTTAAACATGGGTTGTTGGTAACTTTGAAAGATGGCAGCTATTGTGCTCTGTCTGTATACAACTCAGATGGTTGTTTACCGTTTTTTCTAATTACTTTTAATATTTTATCCAGAAACATATGTTAGTTTATAGTTTATTTCTGAAGTTAGAGGAATATTAGTCTGGGTAGGTCATTGCTGTAACAAATCATGTCCACAGAAATTCATTGCTATGTTAGCAACACATGACTTCTATTTCCTGTCCTGTCCTTCTGGCCCTATACCTTTGACATGCCTCATACTTTGTTTTACCTGAGATAAAATTCCAGTCCCTAAAAGCTGAACATTTACCTCCTGAAGAGGCCGAATTGAAGGCCAAAGTTTCCATGCAATTATTGTCCCTGTGTCTGCAAAACCATCAATTACAATATCATTTATTTGTATTTTCAACTTTGGTCTTTGATCATTTATATAAATTCACCAAAATATTTGCTTTACTGTTTCTCATGAGTTTTTTTAAAAATGTTCTAAAGCTTTCCTGACATTCAGAGCAATATGATTTTGAATAATAGGCATGAAACCTTCTAATTGTTTTGTGGATATTTTTCCCCAATGCTGACAGGGAATGATTGAACCATCTTGAAATGGGGACCTGCAAGAGGCCCCTGTGATATTTCCTGATAGTAAAAGGGTTACCTTGACAGCATTCATTAGTCTAATGTTGAACTTTGTCACACCTTCTGCATATTCAAGAATGCTGGGTCCTTAGATTTGGGTTCTCCCTATCGAAATTATTGTTCCCAAGAACACCTTCTCTACAGTTTCTTTTTTGATGACCTGCTTTACCACAATTGAAACATCTAACTTTATGAGTTTTCTAAAAAATTTTAGAAATCACTCTCCTATCCAAGTATTCAATATCACATGTATTTCTAATCAATTCATCTATGGACACAAATCTCATCTTTTAAGGCCTGGTCTCCCTTTTACATTCTAAATTAGCATTTTCAAAAGCAAAGATTCAATTAATATTCATCTAACTTCTGAATCTGTTATTCTATTTACAGGTGACGTTAACCTTTGTTTAAAAAAAAAAAAAATCAGAGAAGGCTTCCTTTGGGCCTTGTATAAAT